TGTGTGTGTGTGTGTGTGTGTGTGTGTATATATATATATTTTTTTATTGAAATATTCAAGTGGAAACAAATTATGTAAAACAAAATTTTAAAATACATAAAATATATGTCCTAATAATTTTCAGAAATGTGGCTTGAGCCACGTCATTCTATTTACGGTATGAACTACGCCAGCGGCCGTGTTCTTCTGGGTTTAACACGCGGCAATGAGAATTTGGTGAATGCCACGGACGTTTCGAAGATCTATGATACTAGACGATTGGATTTTGGCGTGAGAGTAAGCCCATCCCTTAATGAGATCCAAGAAATACTCGTCACAAAAGTAAACGAATTCGGACCACGATGGACGAAGGATTTCCATGTGTACACAACGATCTGGACCAGTGATGGTTTCACGTTTTTGGTCGACGGCGAAGAAGTTGGTCGAATAAGTCCTAATGAAGAGGGATGGATGAGTGGAGACAGAAAAGCTGCCCCGTTCGATCAAGAGGTATCATTTAGTTCTATTATTCTATTGCACTATAGTTCTATTGCTATAAAACGGTTTTATATTCTTTGTAGTTTAAGCAAGCATTATAAATTTATGAGAACATTTTATTTGTATCACATCTGTATCATTACCTTATACATATATGTCTCTGTTTAAATATCTAAACTTTAGGAACGTGTAGAGGATCGATAAACTAAGAAAAAAAGTTCTGTAAAGATATGCTCGTTTTGAAAAAAATTGCAAAAAAGACAAAACGTAGTTTTCATTGTTGTACTTTCTCATTACTTATTCACGTTATATTTATTCACTTGCTTAATGTAGATATTGTTTAAAATGTTGACCTCTTGCAGCAATGCAAGCATTGCATTTAGTACGGACAGCTTATGTTACAGCCAAACACTGATCTGATAGATACTACTCCTCCACGTCCTATCCATCGTCGTGGACAATGTCTGTCTATCCAAGCTCGAGTAGTTCTGCCATAATTGGACATCGAGTTGAAATCACATTTTCTTTACTGGATTTTTTTTCTTAGTTTATCGATCTTCTACACGCTCTTGATGTTTAGACATATAAATTCGGGCTACCCTGTATAGTGCAAATTAATTAATCTTAAAATTAAATATTTATATTTTTTATAATAGTTCTTTATCACTCTTGGTGTCGGTGTGGGTGGAGTACGTGTGTTTCCGGATGGTACACACAGTTCCGGAATGCGAAAACCATGGAGAAATATAGACGCTAAGGTACACTTTAATATTTTTTTATATTATTTAATTTAATTTAATCATTTAATATTATTTAATTAATCAATTTATGGCTAATTTAATATGTTGCTTTAATTTTCATTCTTAAAGTACTCTTTTAAAAAATAAGCATCAGTTTTTTAAATAATTACATGAAATATCGTCTTGATTCTAGGCAATGTTGAATTTCTGGAACTCTCGGAACCAATGGCTACCAAGCTGGAGACGAGACAGTGGCAGTAAGACTGCTTTTGTAATAGATTACGTCAAAGTGTGGGCTTTTTGAATCAACATTGATACATGCATAATTCTTCATTTTTTATCATATTCACTATTTTCTTTTTTATCATTTATGTTACTTGTAGTGGTAGACCTTTTTTATCGCGCGACAATTATATCCTACGTAGGCATTCAGTATTGCGAACATGAAGAAACAAGCTATCAGCAAAAATAGATTTAAATCGGTTACCTTCTGATTCAATAATGGCAGAAGATTACAACGTTGCCTGCAATGTTATTGCACTTGGAATCTCCACCAAGACTTATAAAGGCCTTTTTACCTGCGTAACGTAATTAGAGTCCTGTAATTGGACCACTTCTGTTTCTATAAAAGGGTGAACGATACTCCCGTAAAATTGGAAAGAAATTCAGGGTCGCCCGGAGCTGGTTTTTACCTTTAATGATGCCTCCATTAGCCGCTCGGATGGTTATCCTCTGATAATATTCCTGCCGATCACGACATGAACATGAAAATGTCTTAAACCAGCGCGAAGTTTACCAAGGGCATAACATTTTCTATAGGATAGATGGTACCATTAATTGTATTCGTTTCAACTAAATTTTCTATGCGTTATATCGCTTTCCTTTTTTTTTTCTAATATAATAGCTACTTCTTTATTCTATTGTAATAAAAAAATAGATACAAAATTATATAATCAAAGAATAATCACTTATTTATATTCCAAAGAAATATTACATCATTATATGAAAAGCGGCAACGTGCATAGCTCACAGCTAAAAATACGATACCAGACATGATATATTATGGCAAGTGATGTGATTGTCAAGGTCATCCCTGTGACAGATTTGATTTTATTCGTCAGTTTCATTTTTTTTACGAAGTTTCGAAAGTTCGAAAAAAAAATTTGTTTTCAAGATTACATAGTAAAGGTCTATCTATCTGAATTTGACAGTCCCTTCTTAAACAATGTATAAAGAAATTAGATGAAAAAAAAGAACATAATTAAAGCACAATGTCGACTTTCGACCTGGCCCATTATTCAAACCGGTTTACCTCGGTTAATGTTGAAAACAAGAAAAAAGGGTCATCATGCAGTTTCTTCCGTCTGCTTCGTGGTATCACGACTGATGCTCCGGCCGGATCCGATTAATTTTAACGTTCTATGGTGCGCACGTGTGCTACCTTACTGTGGCATAAAATCTCGGCAAAGTCGAACGACCTCAGTTTGGCTTTGACGTCTTGTCTGGTTTTGTTTTTGCGGCCTCTTCTACGCGGCGAAACTTTTTCCTCGTGAACAGTCGATCGATAGCTCCCGCGGTAGCTACCACGATTTCCTCTCCCACGATTGGTAGACAATTCAAACTGTTCTAACTTGCAATAAATTTTGTTAAATGTGTGTAAACTTAGTACTTTATTTTAACTTAAGTCAGTAAGTCACTTGCAAAGACCTCGTGACAGATAATGACTTTGAAAAAAGTGACTGTTATTTTAATCATCTTCGTTTGGGCCACTGATTCCCTGGCAGTTTATTATCCTCGTTCAAGGCGATCAAGTAAGTGATTTTATAATATAATTTTTATCATTACAGATTATATGCTATGTAATCTACACTCTGGAATCTATTCATATTTTTCTAATATTAACACAATTTTGAATGAAAATTGATAATTAAGAATTTTTACTTTTTTATATCTCCTTTATAAGTTGCAAGATGTTGGAATAACTAAATTAATATTATTTTAACAGATGAACTTTAATGTTAAACAATCTTATTAAATATTATTTTTAATATAAAACTATATTAAACTCAAAAAGTGCATGAGTGAAAATTTATCTACGATAAAGAATTAATTAGAGTAATTTCTAGTAAGAATCAATTGTTCGATATCAATTGTTTTGGGCTATATAAAGTTTAAATATATTCTAAATTAATAGATATTTATCTTTTACTATAGTGTGTCAGAATTATTTATATTCAAAACGCAAAAATTAAAAAAAATATCTAAAGGATTTCATAAAAGACAAGTGATCAAAATATTTTTAATTCTTTTTAAAACACTTTTCAAATATATTTCTTAGTCAGTGTGTGCATATGTAACATCGATTTATTACCTGAACGTAACATTAACATTAACTTCAACAAGAATACATATATGTGTATATATTTAGCAAAGATGTCATTCAATTAATGCATGTTTAAATGTTTTAAATAAAAACAGTTGTCTATCCACAGTCTATCAATTTTTCTATATCACAATGCATGCAGTTGAATAATTGAAAAACTTGAATTAAGAATGCGTATTGTCGATACATGCCGTTGGTGCAACCAGCTTTATATAAAATTATACAAGAATTAGATAAGTAAGTATTATATACATTATGAAAATTTTATTTCAGGTAATGAATATATATTGCACAGATGTACAGCCACTGCGGAATTAATTAGAAAGCATAGGAATGAGGATGTTGGAGCCAGTTTACGCAGAGCCGAAGGAAATTTGACACAATCGCAAATGCAACAAAAAGATTCTCTGATTGACGCTATTCAATCTGAAACTTCCAAGCAAATTTCGAACGGTGTTTTTCGACGTATGACTCATATGAGAAGACGCGGTAGTGGGCACGCACGTCGAATCGCAAGCAAACATTTAGCAGATACACCTCTTAAAACCGTAAATATCAACGTACCACAAGACAGACCATCAGCTTTTAAGAAGAAAAATCCATTACCGGAACTCTCGCGCAATATATCGGGCAGAAACATCGATTCGTCGTCACATGTAATAATTATCAAATCTCTCACTTAATATTTTTCCAATGACATTCAGTTTATATTGCCGCAGATTTTAATTTTATTGCAAATTAGTATAACTGCGTAATACATAATTACTTGTAATAATACTAAAGAAAAGCATATCATTTTTTTTTTTTTGGAACAATTTACCAATTTTATCTTTCTACAAATATTAATATTAATAAATATTATTTTTTATAACTGCGGCCTTTTAAAATAAGATTATTTTTATCGTATAATTAAATTTTCAAAAATTAAAATAAGTATAAAGTTAAATAAATAAACTTGAAATGTATTTTTTGTAGTTTATATTGAAACTATCTACAATCCTCATATCAACAATTATTCATAGTTACATATTATATAATTATGTATTACCCATTGCAGCTATACTCTCAGGCAACTTCTCCATCTCAACCTACAAGTAAAAGTTCTTAGATAAGACAGATGCAAATGAATTTGAATCTATTTTATATTATAGGTCCTTTTCAGCTAAATTTCTTGCATTATTATTTCCTCGTTTTCTCGTTTCTATATAGAGAAAAAACGAGGAAAGATGAACAGTACAAAGTACATAGAAATATAATTAAATAGACCATATAAAACTCTGACCTTAGTCACTTTCATAGCCACTCCTTCTGGCAAATTTCTTTGAAGATATTCTAGAAAAGTATCTGCTGTCGATCCAGTCAATTTTAAAAAGTCTAGATAGCGATAGTAAGTCCTAATTTCATACTGAACCCGGTGCTTTTTATGAACATGAGCAGATTTTAATACTGTCCAGCGTTCGTGGATAGCTTTATATGGTGCTGTACTGTAAACAAAAAAAATTAATTTTAATATATTATCCAATCAGCTATTTTTTGTGATTTTTTCCTGTGGATGGAGGACTTATGTAAGTGCTTTTTATCATTCCATATGATACTTCAACACAGAATCTTAATATGATCCAATCGTCGTTAAACATTAAAGTTAAATAACCGAATAAGACCTGATTGCATCAATGTTACTTTAGGCCTGTTCTTTTTGGCTGAACTTTTGTACCAATTCCTCTTTCTTCTTTCCTTCTGAAGAGAAAAGGAAGAAAGATGAACTGGTGCAAAAGTTCAGCTAAAAAGAATAAGCCTTTTAACTTTAAGCAAGACTTCCCACTTTCTTTTTTTAAAGCCGAGAAAGAGAGAGAGAGAGAGAGAGAGAGAGAGAGAGAGAGAGAGAGAGAGATATGGAAAGCTTTAAGCCTTACTTAAAGTCAAAGTAAGGTACAATCGGGTCTAATTAGAATATTAATAAACAAATAACTAGAACTCACTTTCTACCTATGTTGATTTTCAAATGATTTGCAGCCATCGTTGCAAATTCTCCATAGCTCTTTAATACCGCTGGATCATTTCCCCTGACTTCAACTTCAACTTTTTTATACAATTTATCTGGTGTGCCCTAAGAAATAAATATTCTATTTACACATTATATTTGAATAAATTAATGGAAATATAGCAATAACAAAATTTACCGTGTTTATCGAAAGAGAGACCTGTTCTTTCAATGAATCCTGTTGCTGTTCATCCTGTTGCTGTGTTGACATGAAAAGTTTCATGGAGGATATATCACTTCGTAGATATTTACGCACGAGAACATCAGGATATCCTGATTCATGTTGTATGGCAGCAAAAGTAGTATTTCTGAGAAGAAGTGGTAGCTAGCAGAATATAACACGGTTAACCTCAATTGCAATTTGCATTGGCTTTATGTTTATATTGAGATACCTTTGATAGGAACATTTCTTGTCGTTTTATATCGGCGAATAGAATTCCAAACTGCGAGATAATCTCCAGAAATTTTATGAATTTATTATTTCCGTGTTATGTAAACATATTCATTCATATATACGTTTAGCTGAACACGGTAACTGTAACTGTAACCGAGGCTAATTTGCTGGATCCAACGATCATAACCAATAAACCAATCCAATCATGTTCGCTTACTGCTCGGCATGCACAACTGTTGTTTCTATTAAACATAGATTGTACATACAACGTACACTGAATACAATTTAATTAGAATCGTACAACAGTTGTGTAGTTGATTGTGACGTTACCATGTAGGAGCAATTTATGTGTTAGTAGCAATAATATAAAATTCTCTTAGTAGAACAAAAATATTGCGATTATGCAAAGTTTATATTTGCAGCGTTAAACTAAAATGACTAAATTTAATACCCATTATTGCAATATTAGATATTTGTTAAACACAAACTAATATTTAAAGTTAGAAGAAGAGTTTTAATTGTTTCAATAATTAAGCATTGTTCTGGTTTTTTTATAGTAACAGAATAGCACAATTAATTATGTCTAAAGTTATAAATGTATATATGTGCGTAAAACTTGGATATATATATAAATTAGAAAGAGAAAATTACTTAACATGTTAAAAATTTATTAACATAATGTTAAGTAATTTTCTAAACATCTAAATATGCATATATTACATACATATCTAGATCCACAAAAACTATCTGATGCAAACTATAATAGTAATATCCACAAAAATTATCTGATGTAATATAAATTTCTTGTTTTCGAAAATTGTGTAAAATATTTAATATAAAGCGTAGTTTTGTATATTTTTATCTTATGTTCAATTTGTAATAAACAACATCTGTTATAGAATTTTATTTAATTTGTTCGAAATTGTTACAATTTTGATTTAAAAGAATATACATCGTGATTCATATAATTTTATAAGTATAATATAATGAGTCTAACCGAAACATTTACCAAAATTGAACGGAAACGCTCGGCTATATTTCAATTTCAATCAAAATCCAAATTAAAAATAAGAATCCTAATAAAGGCCATATACAAGTATAAACATGCCATATAATGGCATATATTATGTATTTTTTCTTCATAAATATCATAATTATCAATTATTGATTATATCAATTATTGAAACAGTAATTAAATTTCGAAATCGAAAACCAAAATTTTGATCGTGCCAATTTTGGCTAAAGAATATAACTGCTTTTTCTTCATAAACGATATAATTATTGAAACAATAATTATACAAAACATTTAATATGTATAATTATTGTTTCAATAATTATACATATTAAATTTAATATTTATGAAGAAAAGCTGTATGAGTTTCAGTCGAAACTGACATATGAGTTCGTTTTCAATTTCGGTAAAAGTTTCGGTAAAAGTTTCGGTTCGGATTCTAATAATAAGAAACTCATAATTTGCAGATTTTTTAGATATGAAATATGAGATGTCAGCTTGTGATATATTTTAGAAAACACTTCAATGAGAGATACAATTAGCTATTATTACATACATATGAATCAACTGCAATTTATATTATACATACTACATATATATCATTTGCAATTCGTGCAAAACTATGTATGTACAATGCTCCTTAGTAAATATATAGGCTATTTTTATTTCTCTCATTGCACAAATAATGTAATTAATAATATTTAAACATTAAAAAAAATAAGTATCGTCTGTTTTGTCTTATTGAAATACATATTAATAAATTGAATTATGAATCATTTGAAAGAATGGAAATACTTTTAAACACTATTGTTTGCACAAAAATCACAATATAAATCACATAATAGAGACAGATATTTTAACACATATTGCAGTCGTAATTTTATTTGACATCGCATATTTGTTTTACATAGTGTTTTTAATACCCATTCAATTCAATTAATGGTCTATGTGCTTTTGCTTTATAAACCGAAACACTCAAAAGTGAGCTAAACTATTATTACTTTGAGTGTAACATTAAAATATCTTGTCTAACATATTATAACTAACGTCGATCCTTAAACAAATTGGGTACAAAGGATCGTTGCGGTGTCTGAAAACCATAATTTGATTGCCATCCAACGTTAGTCCCAATGTTGGATCCAACGTTAGTGCCTCCTTGCCAGTTGGTAGATGATGATGATACCTTCTTATTCATATCGTTTAAAGGCAACCAGCGCGAGTCGTTTATACTCGGGTTATTACTGTTTTGGCATAACGATTTCGCTGGAAATATCTGCGACTTGTTTTGCCAATTATCTTTGGATTTTCCCCAAGGATCCTTGTCAACTTCTCTGGACCAATTAGTCGACGAAGTAGCCTGATTATCGATGTTCCTGTTCAATCCAAGATTGCCGTCGTCCCCCCAAGGGTCCCTTGCGTCTTCGGGAAGGTCATTCCAATCGTCTTTATCTCCTTGATTCCAATCATTAGATTGCGACTGTTCCCATCGCGGCTTGTTTGTATTCATCCAAGACTCCTTGTTGCGGCCACTCAAACTATCCCGATTCCAATTTTCGCCACCATTTCCCGATCTGGATGGACCGGACCATCTATTGTCTGAAGTCTGCCAAGGTTCTTTCATACTTCCAAGTGATTGTTTTGCATTCCATGAATTTCCATGAGATGAAGATTCTCTGCCATCCCAGGATTTATCTTGATTAGTTGATTTGCGATATTTGTCATTATCAGACAAAGCCTGCCAATTTCCGCTCGTTGTCGATTGTCTCTCATTACGCCAAATGTTTTCCGGTCTTTCATTAACGGACCGTTGCCAAGTGCTGCTTTGTTCAATAGCACCTCGACTTGGTATGTCCCATTCATCCGCAAATCTATTTGGTGGCGAGCTTTGGCGTCTTGGAGGAGATAACTGTCGCCTCGGAGATTGCTGTCGCCTTGGAGGAGATTGCTGTCGCCTCGGAGGAGATTGCTGTCGCCTTGAAGGCGAAGCATTACGTATATGTGGTGCTTGATGTGGCGAAAAATGTCTCATGGGAGAAGATTGATGCCGCGGTGGAATCAAGTCTCTTGGTCTTGATGGAGACATCATTCTGACAATAGGTGACATAGGTCTTCTTTCCGGAGACAACTGTCTCGCAGATAAGTCATATTCCATCGGAGATATTTGTCGTCTAGGTGGAGATAATTGTGGTCTTGGCGGCGATATGTGCCGTCTCATAGGTGACATTGGTCGACCTGAAACTTGTATCGGTCGTCTTGGCGGAGACATTCGATTAATCGGTGAAAATGGACGTCTAAGCGGCGACATTTCACGTCTTTCTCTATTATCAGATACCATTACTCTTATTGGCGACACTGGCCGTCTCTGAGAATATTCTCGATGTGATGGAGAATTACGTACTTGATACGATCTATCTGGAGAAAGATGTCTTCTAGATGGCGAGGATAAACGTCTCGGTGGTGATAGTAACGGACGTTTTGATGAAAATCCATCTGATGGAGATGCTCGTTGTGTAAATGATAAATTTTGCCTTTTCATTGGAGAAACAGGTCTTCTTATAGATCCTGTATCGCTCCAACGATTTCTATCAAAACTTTTATTCTTATTCCAGAAATTATCTTGGTTTTGGTGTCTATTTCTGTTATCAAATGATTTTTGAGGAAATTCCGATCTGTTGTCGGATTTAAATTTTTTTGATATTGGCATTATCATATTTGGCTCTAATGGTGTAAGGTTATGATATTTTTTGAATTTTGGTTTATTGTCCTCTGTTTCTAAGTATTCTTTATTCGCTGTCGTAATAACGATATCCTGTGCACGAGTTTCTTGTACAAATCGACCTTTCAAAAGAGGATCGTCATCAAGTGTCTTAGACTCAGGCTCAGGTGGCGCAATGCGATCCCACACTGAACGTGGCAAATGAGCCTGAATCTTATTAGTTTGGTCGAGGACCAAACTTAATACGTTTTTTAATTCCTTAGCGGTCGTTGCATCAACCGTAGGAGATGGACCGCTTAACTTTTCTTTGGCTGCTTCAAGTATTTCTCGACTTTCATTTACCTTCTGTATTAGATCTGTGTCAATTCGATTGCTCAATAATTTTTCTCTTAAATCAACTTGTTCTTTGATCTCCCTTGTTTTTTTCTCAAATAATGGATTGATGCGAAGGTTTGAATTTTCATGAAACCAGGTCTTTTTCTTAGCTGTAACATCTGATTAATAAAAAATTGATTAGATGTGTGTATGTGTATATATGTAATATCATGTAATATCTATTAGTTGTGTATCACCAAACTTACCCTGTTGTCCCACTTTAGATTTAGATCCAATCTTTTCAATTTTTTTAGGTATTTTATTAATTTCTATTATATCGGGCGAACGGTCTCGTTTCAATTTTAGTTTACCTTTTACTGATAAAGGACTGCTTTTCACTGCTTTGGTTATTTTTTTCGCGTGTAACGCTTTAGATTTTTCCACAAGTTCAGGTTTAGCTAAGGGATTCTTTCTTACCCATGCATCAGCATTTTCAGATTTGTCATTATTGATTATTTTCTCTAAAACCTTAGTATTAGCTAACGTTTTGCTTTCTTCCTCCAGCATCTTAATAAACCATGGCTGCGTAAGCCTATGCATGAGTCTACGTTCCATTAGAATAACTACCTCAAAATGAGGTCCCGTAGGCAATGTATCGACGACACATGCTCGAATTGGCATGAACGGATGACCGAGCCCAGTTTCTATAGGCCGTGCAAGTTCTAATATTGCTCGAACTGATTGTTTTGTCAACGTAGTGACCATTACAATACGTCGAAGAGAACTGATCTTCCTTAAGCATGTCATTACTTCGATAGCTAAAAGATATTATAACTTTAGAGTTTTATTATCGCAAGATATATGTTGTGATCGGAATGCTAAATGTTATTAATTAATCGCCAATAAAACTAACGATTAAAAAAAAACAATTTTGCGTACCTCTACCCATATTGGTGCCCGCATTGACTATACAATAAGTCACACGATTTTTATTATGTAAATCACGCGCAGAATTTAGTTTAGTTACAATTTCAGATGGAGATCCCATTATAAACGATGCATTGTATATGTTGTTCAATTCGCATGTCATTTCAGCCTCTTCTATTTCCGAAGGTGAATCAACTCCTATCACTTCTCGACATTTCTGTTATAATGCAATGAT